AAAATTGATGTGAACTCTGTCTTATTTCGGGGGCCCGAAGGCCAAACTATATACTACGTAGGAAGTGACTGTATGCATAGGCAGAAGCACTAATTAGAGACAGCAGTAGGCACGGTAGGCACGGTAGGCCACCGTACCCCAACCCCTCTCTGTAGAAGTTGTAACTGGCTAGGCATGTAGGCAGCTACTATGCCAGCAACTCCAAGTAAGTCCCTTAGCAGACCATATCTGTGACGTGATCATTACCGCGTTGGTGAAGTCACCAATCTGGCACTGCGAATTTCAAACTCGCTTTTCATGTGTAGATACTGTACGTGATGCGAAGAAATAGGCGTCAACGCCGCAAAATTGTCATTGTTTCCTCTGCATTGTTCATTCATTGTTTTTCAACCAAGGTTACAAAGAATTCCGCTTTGACAATGATGCAGTCCGGCCACCGAGAGAGAGAATCATGGAGTCTTTTCTAAGCGATTCATTGAGATCAAAGGAATGGCAAAGCCTTTATTCGAATAGCCACTACTCTCAAGCCACAATTCTTTGTCGGCGAAGCCCCCCTCATTCAGAGCGCTAAAAACAAGTTGCATCTATTTAATAGACCACGGCTTCGTAGCTATCGAAGACTTTCCGTATCGCTTTCAAATCATCGAGCACTACCGCATACTACGTCAAGAATTTCATACAAATCTCCTTGCCCGGCTTCAACCATGGCACCACAACGCAAGGCTGCAGCTGAAGCTGCAAAGGCATTGGCTGCGCTGAATGCTGGAAGGCTCAGGCCTACGTATGGAGTACCTCAGCCCCGACAACCTACTCCTAGTCCTCCCCTGACACCCAAATCCCTCAAGCTCATCAGGAAGGCCAGAAAGCCGCGGACGCGGGAGACGGCTCGCCAGAAAAAGACACGCATGGCTAAAACGTGGGCGAGGAGATGTGCAAATGCGGCCGCCAGAGCTCAGCAGAAACAACAAGGAGACGAGGAGGATGACGCAAAAAAGGAGTCGCAGATCGAAGGCAGAGGTGACCGTGCCGCGTTTCGAGAATACACTCGTGCGAAGAGCGCGCGGATTCTTGAGGCGAGAACGGCTGCGCGTCGTGCAGCGAGGGCGGCTAAGGCAAATCCTAAGAAGGCGGTCGGATGCAAGGCAAGTGCTTGTGTTTAGAATAACTTCATGTGTACCTTGAATTAAGTCGTCACTTGGGGCTAACATACAATTTAGTTGACCAAGAGATCAAGTTCTTCCACCACGATTTCTTCAGTTAGCCCCCCGAACACTCCTAGCCCGCCAGAGTCCCCAGCAAAATTTTCTGCTTTTGACGCTCCAAGTGCCAAAGCCCTACTCGGGCCCCGTCGGGTTGTTTCACAATGATCGAAGATCAGCCCGTACGTAGTACGGGCCTACACCCTCAACCGAAAAACACCCTCAACGAAAATTTACCCCTCTATTCACTGCTTTACACCTAC